AACACGCACGCTATGCGAACAAATGCTTAAAAGTTACGTGTGCCAATTTCTACTACTAGACACTGCAGACGAGAGATAATTTATCTGTACAAAGTTTCATATTCAAATAATACAAAAGTTCAAGTTCAATGGAGGACGATCAACGAGATCCCGGGGGAGCTGTGCCGGTCAGAGGAGGAAATGCTTGCAGTTTGCTCACGACTAACTTTTGTTGCTGGTGCGCCAGGTATCCTTTAATTTTACCCTACGGAGAAAGACAAGATAAATAGAGAGAAGGGAAGCAACTCGGTACCGCAACGTTTGAATGTGTTTTTACACGTGTATGGAAAACCAAAAGAAAAAGGAAAGGAGATTTTACCGGTGCTTACTTCGTAGATTAAATTGGCCAATATACACTCGGTCTCGTCGTGATCAATATCTTCCACCTGAAAAGGATGAATGGAGAATAAGTAACGCGCGAACGGTAGTCGATAAAGACAACAACGACAAATATGAATGGGAACTTGATGTGTGTATCACATTTTTGAAGAGCGTTGGGGAAGCACGGGAGGAATGGAATCAATGCAATACCGGTGTTGTGACACATAATTCTGGGGAGACTAATAGCGTGTTAATGTGGTGTTGTACAAAGAATTATTCACGAGCAAAAAATACATTTGGATTCCATCGCTCAATTGTTGGGCGTTTTTATCGTCAAGTTCATTCAGTTTCATCATGGATTTGGGAACAACTTGCATTGGAAACTTCCAAACTAGTGATAAATAACCTGGTACCGAGGGTTACACGGGGTTCTCTTTTGGGAAAAGAACAATACTTATTACTCTTCCTCGAGCATGACTATCGATGAGAAAGTTCGAAAACGAGAGTTCTGACCGAAGCCTCAAAACCGATTGATGAGGATATTGCGAGAATTATTCGCCACAGGTGTGCAAGAACCATTGTGGTTCGTGTTTTGGGCCCTGTCATTGTCACAACCTTGCAGCCACACGGTTCGATTCAACACCTATCTGATCGTGGTTTCAAGTGGTTCGTCACATCCAGTTCCAACAATGGACTAGGTAGGTTTCCTAATCGGACAAGAAGTCTTCATGATCATAGGTTTGTAGCCCCTTGATGCTCATCACGCAATGAAGTGTGTAAAAAAAGAACATGAGAAGATAAGCAGTGAGAGAGAGAGATGGCACACGCGAGGAACTTTGAACTGATTGCCCAGGAAACGAGAAAACTAGGACCAGGGAGAAGTTAAAAAACATAAAAACATTGGGGGAAAAATAAAATGCTCACCCCCATTAGACGAAGAGATGCGGTGAACACCTCAATGGGCAACAAGTGCGTTTTCATAATTTCGCAGCTGAAAACACGGAAGACGAGAAGTCGGTTCAGTGGAGAAACTGTGTTCACATGTCGATTGCACAACCACAATGACCGGAAACAGACTTACACCCGTTTGAACAGATTCCGGTAGGTGATCAATTTCAATTTTTCCAAAATTAGATACACACCACAGGAGAGGAAGAACGATTCGTGCTGATTTAACTCTGTATCCATTTTGCGTAAATCACCGGCCCTGAATAAAAGATCAGTGAGAGATCAAGAAGAGTCAGATAGCGAGAAGAAGTCAAGAGAGAAAAAGGGTAAAATGTTAAGCAAATAATCAAACGAACGTACTTGACTGCCTCCAAAATACCGAGAAATTCGGATAGGTTGTATTTCAACAACAAATCAGGGGTTGGAAATACTCCCTAAAAGTCGAATGAGTAAACAGAGAGCCCAAATAACCTGGACATACCAAGAGCATTTTGACTGGGATGAGATAAATGAGAATCAGTCGCTTGTTATGCAATGCAGAGCCCAAACAGTGTTCGAATGAGAAAGTCAGGGATTTATCCGCTGGAAAAAAGGGACAACTAACAAGTCAGTAATGATCAAAAAGTCTCGTGAAAGAGCTATAACAGCCCATTATTGTTAGGCTTAACAATACAATGGAAGACGAACGTATCACATCAAAGCATAATCATCATCATCTTACAGCATGAACCAGTGAAGAAAAACCTCACTGATCAATATCAAGCTCGTGGTGTGAACAGCGTCAATTCGAGTGTGTAGGGTGTACAGATGGCGGGTCTGATTGGAAGAGGGAAAACGGATCCAATATCAGTACACTCTTCGAACAGTTTGACTTAGGGCCAACCATGCCACCGTGCTACAGTCAGTTCTTTGCTACATCCTTCGATACACCCAGCCAAACGGTTACCGGATTTTTGGGAACCCAGTCTGAAAAACGAATGATAATAAGTTCATCTACTTTCTCCCATATCTTGACAATACTCCATGTCTGATTTGTGCATCATCTATTGATCTCCAGGTAATTCCCACCGTAGGGGATTAGGAGCTACTGACGACTGATAAACATGCGCAGCATGTACCCTAACCAGCGAGGTCTATGCTATCTAAACCCATGGAAGAACTCGTAAAAAAATTGCTGTGATCTACACAGGACTGAACCCTTATAGTCAAAAGGGCCTATTGTGGGTATGTGAAGAGATAGCTGAAACATCAGGTTAATGAAGATCGAAAGAAGGAAATACACTCCGAGACAAAAGTAGTGCACCCCCACTCCCATCCCCAAAAATTTTTCATTTTATCTCCACTCCCACAAGCATGATCATTACCACTTTGATGAGTCTACACAACAACCGAAATTCCAAATTTAACCAAATTATCTTTCATTTTAACGAAAATATACAAGAGGAACAGAATTTTCACTACGATAAGAACATTGCTCTCTCCTCCATGGACTTTACTCATTGAAGCTATTTTAATACTCTGCATACAACTTCGAATCATGTCCCTGCCGCTACTATTCCACTACATGATCAATGATGCCTCTAATGCGTGTTTTGTGGTGTAAACTCTGAATTGTTGGTACGCTTTTCTATTGCGTTAAAATCTAGGATGCTCACAAGCCATACCGTTATTCCGATGCCGCGAACTACGACATTGTCATGCTGTAAAATGACTTCAGGATGACTATTTGATGCTATTGTTGGCATGAGATGTCGCCCCAATGTACGAATATGTGAAACATAATCTTGTACTACGCATAGTATACATGTTTGGCCGATGCTAGATAAGGCACCCGGTACCATCAAGGAGTTTTGATCGTCAACTGGCTTGCCGAAGTACCGCTCTTCTTTTCATAGATTATACCAATTCCAGTTTCATGCACCTGGTCCATCTAAATTAAATTATCATCGATCGTGTAGACGAAATTCCATTTGGTTTTCCGAGTTAAATGGGTTCCAGTCCACAACAAACGTTTCTTTTTCTTATGCGTTTAAAAATGTTATGGCTAAGCACCTTCTCACTTGTATTATCCAAGGAACCGTTCTGAGTGTATCGTTGGCACTGACAAGCTCGGCTCAAGCACTGTTTTCATTTTCGATGCGTGGTTCATGGAGTTTAAGGACATACGTAGCAACATGTTTTCATCTTTGTTCGAGATTTTTTGATATCCAGTTTGTTTTCATCTGCTTCTGTTTCAAATATCGTGTCACAGCGTGATCGGGACGGATTTCACGGTTTGGCCTTTGCATGTGTGCTGACGGTGATCTCACGAAAAGCATCAATTTTGGATTTCTCGTTATCAGTGAGCCTTTCCCAACGCGCCATGCTTGAGACTTGCAGTGACATGTTTAGATGTCATTTTTCCTTCAAAGTCACTGAGTGATATGAGTATGTGGCCACTGTTAACATGGTGTCAATTAGCAGTGGCTTATCGAACACTGACTCCCCACGATTGCCGGTTGTCTTATCGAAATACAAATTCGGAATTTCCAGTACCCCGTTGTTTAACTGAGTTGTACGTGTTAAGTACATGGGGATGCAATACTTTTGTCGTAGTGAAAATTTTGCATTTTCTGTGTATTTTTATTAAAGTAAAAGATCATTTGATGAAATTTAGCAGTTCATTTTTTCATTCGGTTGCTGTTTATATTCTCAAAAACAGTTATGGTCGTGCAGGTGGGAGTAAAAACAGTCAAACAACTTAGGAGGCAATACTTTTATTGCTTGGTTTCTGTGCTACTGAGAAGCAGAGGGTAGACATGCCTACTTACCCCTACGAGTAATCCGTATGCGTTCTACACCCGATTCTTACAGACGAACGAATGCAAGTGAGTACGAATGAGGGTACTGAACCATGATCACGACAGTTTTTATTCCACGCATTTACCAAATCTTTGACACTATTCTCCTCAGAACAGTACGAAAACATTTATGATACATCCTAATGAGCTAAGAAAAATATGTATTTTGACTCCCCTTGTAATCCTCGCACACTGACAGCCGAGCTTTACGTTCACTGAAAATGTTTCAAACCTGAGGTTGCAATGACCGATCAACTGCGATCTAACTTTTGATCAGATTGTGGACATCATCCAAACGCAAATGTCACATAATGTTCGTGTTTCGAGTATCTTTATTTCACAATATAGCTTGGATGAAACCCTTTTTTCTAAGAATCAGGTCAACGGTATCAGAAAAGCTTAACTTTTATATTCTTCGGGGCAACATTAATTTAAACATCGGGCTGAACAGAATATAGTTGTTGGAAAGTGGGATGGATTTAATCAGAAATGTGTTCAAATGACTGTTGGGTCATTCTAGAGGGGGTTTGGAAGTTCCGGTTGCTTCTTGTAAACTTTTCAGGAAACGATTACAATGAATGTGCCCCTTGATTATCTTGGTTGGATTACATTACCTAACATGTTTCACGACAACTTCACTGAAGAGAAGTGTTTCAGTGAGTGAGGAACTAATCCATACGATCAACCTGTGCATCCGAAACCACGAATTTTTAACTAAACTGGCAACCAACAAACCCTAAAGTTGTTGGTTAAAGATTACGGTTCACACAAGTTTTTTAAAGTTCCACAAGGGTAACTGAAGCACTTTCATCTAAACCGTACGGTACTTTTTTGGTCTTGCGTGGTTTTCTACGGCACCGTCACACGTTCATGCTTCGGTTGCCTGATTCTGAGATGAAAATCCGGAACAGAAAGATGCCCTATAGTGTAGTAGTTCATCTTGGTGGCCGAATCGATAGCATGAGAATATCTGGCACGGGTTTCGCATTATGACAGCGCAAAAGCTGATGAGAAGGCACAGTTAATTCAGCCTCCGATCTAGAAGTAACGCGCATAAACCATAGGCCCAGTGGATGCACGGTGATGTTAACAGCGATGCACACTGATCCGGTCTTCAAGGTGTCACTCGAATCCTGCTACTGGTATTCGAAATTGGACGTAAATACAATAAAGATATTGAACCGAAGGAGTCGATGGATGAAGTGAGAAGTATAAGCAATGAGCCAAAAATGAGTTGCTTGTCCCAACTTCAAAGGAACTCGAAAGTTATATTTAGAGAGACCAAATTACGCGCCAAAGAACAATGCAAAAAAATATTGTAAACACTAAAACACAATGCTTCTCCGTCACTTGAAATCCGCTCTACAGCCGACCCAGAATCTCAGTACTGAAAGCTGCTTGATAAAAATGCCAAGTTTAATCAGAAAGTGAATGGGACTGCGGCACGTTTGTAACGAAGCCCGAGAGGCATAGCACTAACCTGAGACGAAATCCCCATCAAACATGGCTTTGCGACCAACGTAGTAGCAATAAGTGACACGTTGAGCCAAACTGAAACGCTCATTCATGCCCAGGTTATCGATTGCCCGAATCATTGACTTGCATAGATTTAGTTTGTTGATCTAATCAGATGGGAGGAAAGTGATAGGGGCAGAGAAGGATAGAGAGAGACGGATGCAAGAGGTGTTGTAACACATGGGTGAAGGAGCCACGGAGAATCAGAGAGCACATATATTCCTGTAATCAGTGCCAGTAAACATACCTGGAAGTATATCTTGAAAAGTTGATTTGCCAGGCCCATCATTCCTAGTTTTTTTGAGTCTTCTATCTGCGTCCGGCTGTGAAATCAAGATAACATTACTTGAGTGGGTAAGGGAATAAACACAAAAGGAATTTCAAACCATCGAACACGCATACGCACAGAAACTAAGACATATAACAACGAAATCAACAACCATGTGTAGGTAAGATCAGAGAGGTAACATCTATTTAACTTTTGACCTATAGGCCACTATCCTCTGGATGTGGATGAGTTGTCCAGAAGGATATCTTTAATAGCAGAGGTCCACAAAAAAGTCGATTAAGATCGCAAACCAGTCTTGGTTTTACTCGCGTAATCCAGAGCTAATTCGATGACCTAATTATTCCATATTAAGCTTGATGGTATTTATCCAGTAACATACTTTATTAGGAAAATTGAGACCCTGGATGATGAGAGATGAAAGATGAGACCAAATCATTAAATAAGAAGTCATTGAAGAGGTCTAAATGACGTCCCCGAAGAAATCACTGATTGAAGACTAAGAGCTTTCGAGCATCAACTTCCAAGGGACATGTTTCAGAATAGTGGGTTAGCACTGGACTCAGCCTGGCACGAAGGCTAATCTCGACAAGCAACTAAGGTGTTCTGTGGAGTAGTAGAAAATCACATTCATCGATGGTTTTCTCCTCTGATTTGACCATTGGATGGTCGCGAGGATTCTCAAGTCTTCACATTATTCAAATATCTCCATCAGTTCCACGTTGATCCGTATGGGCTGAATTGATAGATTCTCACGACGACTAAAAATATCTCCGGCCTCGACCAGAATGATCGACCGGACAGGCAAGTCATTACATCCAACTGGATAACTGTCACCAAGTTCTCATAACAGTGTTTTTCAATGTATGTATAACCGTTAACATGATAATGGAATGGGATGATCAATTCTTTTCTTTACAAGGAAAACAGATCAAAACAGAAAGGAAAGGACGAAATGTAAAAACTTCGTTTTTACCAAACTGGCATGCCATTCGGGTTCTTTGGAAGCAGTTTGGATGAATCTCTTATGCCGAAACCAAAATAATTGAATTCGATGAATCCAGCTCAAGCGAACGACTGAGATTTTCATGATTTTTCGCCAGATCACGGATGGAATCACGCCAATGTGCTTCCCGCGAAATGAGCGTCGAAGGGGAACTGAATACGTCTTATTTCTAACACAGAATGTAACGAGAGCTTCAACCACCGAAGACAAGTCAACTTTCTGACGCAACAAATAAGCGTGGCATAAATCGAAACGAATAAATTACACGGAAACTGACCTATCGCTTGCACAGATTTGAAACAACTTCAATATTGACTGTGCAGCTGTCTCCAATCGGCGCCCGTGTATCCGAGTGATGGATCCGGATTTCGCTACGTGTCCTTCATTCTTCTCGTTGGCCACGGAATCCAGACCGTGTGCGAATCGACGCAAATCAATAGCGACGGTTAATGTGACCGGTAGTATCCAGTTTTCTTCCTTCATATCTGTTAGTACTCGAGCTACCGTTGTGCAGTTTCAGAGAGAAATTAAGGAACAACAACCGTTTTCAACATTACCCCTCCTTAGATCCTTTCATCAGAAACTTTGGAGCTTCACAAAATACTTGCAAATACTAACGATGTCCTAAGGAATAGAGCTGCCAATTTATCGTGCCAAAGCGATTTGCTGAATCCCAAAAGGATGAGAAAATTGGGGAGTTCAGCTCCATGAAGGAATGTATGAGCTAGCATCAGGGCATTCTTGTAAACATTCGATGATCAAATGTAGCAATAAGTTGTACTGAGCACAAAATACACGAGTATCCCATTCGAAAGACTGATCTGATTGACTGAAAAGAGGCTCCCGATTAATTTTACGTTATCCACATCAATCTACCGCCTCAATGATTAGGTCAAGTCAACCAACTGTTCTGATTTTTGATCATTGATTATCCCCAAAGCTTATTGCCAGGGAACTAAGTATATATTTCACACACGTCTGATGCCAGACTGTGTGCCAAACAAATCGTGGTACAATAATATTTATAAAAAGAAATTGAGAAGAGCAATATTTACCTCCAATGCAATAAATAGACGAATCAAAGAAGACTTTTGGTTAAGAGTACTTGAAAAGGATATTTAACCACAATCATCTGACAGGCGTACGCCTCTTCGAAATTCAGGCTTTTCATCGCCCAGATACATCTGAACATGGATATGCAAATGATCAGAGATATGGAAAGTTTACCGTAAGTGTGCCGAAAAAACTTCATCCCATGGGGGTTGGAGATGCTTCATTGCCATACTTTCGGGGTCCCGAACGGCCAAGCGAGGATTGTATACATGAGCATCTCTGCATGATAGCAGCTCCTAAAATCAATTCAGCTTGAGTATACGCCTTTCCAATTATCACATACGGATAAGGCAGGACCATTCTTATTTTTGATCGACACTGCTCCCTAAAAAGAATACTGTTTACGGTACGATCGGAGTGACTTACGTCACACATATAAGCAACCGGACTAACTGCTTTCATGGAAAAACTGATGCTGAAACAAAAACAAAACAAAAACCACTCATGAAGTAGAGATGACTAAGGGTATATGTGAATGGAGACGTGTCACAACCGACACTCGCAAATCCCTAAGAATAACCGTGAACAACCAAAACCAAATTTGATTACTTTTATGAGGTTAGCACTAAGCGCAATCGATTGAGAATGAATTATCAAGAAAGTTATACTGAAAAAGGAAATCTGCTTTACGATGACATTATTCCATCCGAGGTTGCTGTATTCCATTTGATGCTAATGAACGTATCTGAATCTTAAAACATTTCAAAATGGTGGTTATCAATCCTCTTTCACAACAGCATTAATTACACAGGTAGCAACAGATAATTCTTACATTTCGAGTCGAAAGATCCTGAAATCCTAACCTAATGTCTCTGGTGCGATAGAAAAACTGAGAGCGTGTATTTCTCATATATTACTGGGCGGTGGTGGCCCGGTAGTAAATTGACCAAATTATCACACCAGAGTACGTTTTAGTATTACACGAAAGTGAATACAATAAAACGGGTAAACCCCATGATCCACGTGAGAAAGTAAGGGTAACATTCAAGCTAGAACCAGCTTCTTGATTCTGTTTAAAACAAGGATGCTGTACGTTGAAGGGAAGAACGAATAGGGGAGATAGTTTCACAGTTTTGCCCTTCTTGAAAAAAAAGATGATTTAAAGTTAGAAATGCGACACCTGGAGATAGTCACTTGAAATAGGTGGCTAGTCGCTTGTGCGCCGGATCTACGAGGAAGAACAAACGGAAGAGGGACAGAAGTGGAAAGTTCACTAAAGCAAAATCCGAAAGCCTCAGTATGGTCGGGTTGCGGTTGGTCACCTTCCCCTTGAACCTCGCGAAATGCTCCCATACGACCAAGCGTCTCAAATAGCTTCTGCTGAGGAAGCCCTACTCACTGCCTTCTCGCGGCGATGTTTTCCCACCAAAANCGGGTTTATAACTGAGGTGGGGGCCCACTGGTAATTCATCTAGGGGATTTGGTCAAAAACCCTGATTCCAAACCAACCAAGAGGTGTAGGAACCACACACACACCTTCCCGTTTGTGGTAGTGGTCACCGGCTCAATTGGTCATCGAGGTGTATTGGGCACCTTGGACGTTTGACCCCGTCCAAAGGGAGTATGATCCGATGGACTGGACACCGGCTCCCAATAAATTGCGGGTCAGGCTTTAGCTAGTCAAAGGCTCCGGTTGTGGATTCCTCATGAAAATTCACTTATCTTGGCCTGGGCAACCCGGCAGTATTCAGCCCACAAGCCAATCATGGAAGGTTTTTCTTTTTATAAAGATTATTGTACCATGATTTGTTTGGCACGCAATCTTTCCTCAGACAAGTGTGAAATATAATAATAATACTATAACATCAGGGCTGCGACTAAACCGAATGAGTTCGGCGAGTTTGTCGTAAAATTGGTCCCTTTGTAAAGCGGGACTGCAGTTGGTTGGTGCATACGCGGAAATGATGAACAAACACCTTTTAATGTTGCTACCCTTCCGAACACTGACTGAACCCTGTAACCGCATTGCGCACAAACGACTATTGACGGGTATCCACTCTATTATAGAAGCTTCAGCTTGTTCGTTTAGTACGATGAGCGGTGTGAAAAGATGGGCTGCCGTAGGGTGTTTAGAAGGTTGGATGGGTGATTCGAGAAGGGTAAAACTGGAAGCGAAATGGGAAGCAAACACTTTTGCTTTTCAAACGGGTCGGATACTAGGTCACTAGATGGTTGAATAATGGGTGGGAAGTTAGTGGAACAGAATTCATGGGAAACTGCCTTAGCCAGTGACCAGAACATCCGGCTTCCAGAAGGAGCGGTTGTCAATCGTGCTGCTTTGCGCTCAACAAAGTGCTCCTTAGCCTTCTGTATGATGGTTTTATAGTTGCTGCGTGCTAACAAGAACCATCAGCGGGAGCTGAGGGAAGGTAACCGACGCCAGCGGCAGAACACTGATTTCCTTCTACGAACAGCGCGACAACAGGCGTGGTTGAACCATTCTGGAGAAAGAGGCTTGCTGGGTTTAGTGAAATGAGGAATAAATATTTGCATATATTACGAAATAACTTAGGAGAAATTTGAAGTGGAGATGGAGACATCGGCGGAGAAGCAACATTCATTCCAGAGATAGGAAGCCAGAAAGTTACAAAAGCTGCATTAATCAGCGGAACCATGTCGCAAGAATGTGTGTCTAGAAGTGGGAGGAACACTGGAACAAATAATTTGGGTAGAGAGCGAAATAAACCGGTGGACCGATGAGTCTAGGGGAGAAATCGCAGCAACGTTTGAAAATAACTGTGGGTTGGATTTGAGAAGATCGAGGGTATGAGCGTGGTGGCCAGCACGGTCGGGGATGTGACGGTTGGTGAGAACAGATCCACATCAGTTCAGATGACTAGCGGAGTTCCACAAGACTCAGTGTTAGGACCGCTTCTATTTCTTCTCTACATAAACGACTTGCCAAGCACTGACCTCGTCGTGCTACATTTTTGCAGATGAC